TAGTTACTTATAAGAGTACTGCCATAAGACTATCAGCTGATTTCTCAACAGAAATTTTGCAGGCCTGAAGGGAATGGCCGGAAATATTCAGAGTGATAAAAAGCAAGGGCCTACATCCAAGACTGTTTTCCCAGCAAGGGTATGTTTTAAAATTGAAGGAGATATAAAGAGCTCCCCAGGCATGAAAAAACCTAAAGGAGTTAATGACCATCTGTATTACAAGAAATGTTAAAGGGACTTCTTTAAGAAGAAGTAGAGGGGGCCGGCCAAGTGGAGCATTGGTTAAGCGCTGGCTTGGGACACCAGAGGGACCCGGTTCGGATCCCACATATGAGGGCCAGTGACACTGCCCTCCACAGCTAAGATGCTGAACAACAGCTCAACCTGGAGCTGGGCTGCTGTGAGTTGCCGGCGACAGTGTAGGCTGCAGCCTCTGCTGCAGTGGGTTACCACGGGCTACTGTGTGTAGCCAGCAGCCAGCGTGAGCGGCCATCCAGAAGCCAGCGACTGATCTGCCTTACCCGGGAAGAGCGCAATGATGGTGCCAACTTGGGCCAGTGAAGCCACGTCCTCCACAACTAGACTGAAGAACAAAAGTACAGCAACTTGTCTGTTCCCCTTCCCCCAATTCCCCAGCTCTGTTCCCAACCCCCAATTCCCCAATTTAAAAAGAAAGAAAAGAAGAAGAGGGAAAATATAGAAACAAAGAAGACTAAAAATATGAAAATAAAATGGCAACAACTATGTACCTATCAATAATCACTTTAAATGTAAATCGATTAAATGCTCCAATGAAAACAGAGGGAAGCTAATGGATAAGAAAACAAAACCCATACATATGCCATCTATAAGAGACCCACCTCAGAGTGAAAGACACACATAGACTGAAAGTAAAGGGAATAAAATGCAAATGGCAATCAAGAAAAAACGCTGGAGTAGCAATATTTATATCACACAAAATAGATTTTAAAATGAAGACTATTTATAATAAGAAGCAAAGAAGAACATTACATAATGATAAAGGGATCATTTCAACAAGAGGACTTCACCTTAGTAAACATCTATGCACCCAAAACAGGAGCACCTAAATATATAAAACAAATATTGATCAGCATAAAAGGAGAGACTGATGTAATACAATCTTGTAGCAGATTTTAACACCCATTGACACCAATGGACAGCTCTTCTAGACAGAAAATCAACAAAAAATCAGTGGCCGTAAAAGACACAAACTAGACCAGATGGATTTAATTGACATTTCTACAGCATGTCACTACAAAGCAGCAGAATATATTTTCTTTTCAAGTGCACATGGAACATTTTCCAAGATAAAACATGTTAGGCCACAAAAACAAAAATGTCTCAATAAATTTAGGAAGATTGAAATCATATAAACTGTCTTCTCTGACCACAATGGTATGAAACTAGAAATCAATTACAAAAAAAAAACAAAGAAAACAACAAAAAAAGAAAAACACACAAACACATGGAGACTAAATAATATGCCCTAAACATTAATGTGCCAACAGTGAGATCAAGGAAGAAATCAAAAGACACCTCGAGACAAACAAAAATGAAAACACAACAACCCCAAATTTGTGGGATACAGTGAAAGCAGTCCTAAGAGGGAAATTCATAGCAATGCAGACCTACTTCAAGAAACAAGGAAAATCTCAAACAAATAGTCTAACTTTACAACTAAGGGAACTGAAAAAAGAACACCAAACAAAGTGCAAAGTGAGTAGAAGGAAGCAAATAAAGATCAGAGCAGAAATAAACAAAATAGAGGCTAAAAAAACAAAACAAAATAAAAATACAAAATATCAATGAAACCAAGAGCTGGTTCTTTGGAAAGATTAACAAAATTGATAAACCTTTAACCAGACTCATCAAGAAAAAAGGACCCAAATAAATAAAATCAGAAATGAAAGAGAAGTGACAATAGACACCACAGAAATATAAATAATTTTAAGAAAATAGTATGAGCAATTATATGCTAACAAATTTGAAAATCTGGAATAAATGAATAAATTCCTAGAAGCATGCACTCTTCCAAGGCTGAATCAATAAGAAACAGAAAATCTGAACCAACTGATTACTACTAATGAAATTGAATTAGTAACCAACAAGCTCCCAACAAATAATCATTATTTACAGATGTCATGATACTATATAGAGAGAATCCCAAAGATACCACCAAAAACAATTAGAACTGATAAGTGAATTTAGCACAGCAGCAGAATACACAATTAATATTTAGAAACTGGTTGCATTTTTATACACCAATAACAAACTATCAAAAAGAGAAATTAAAAAAAAATCCCATTTACAATTGCATTAAAAAAATAGCTAGGAATAAATTTAACCAAGAAAGTAAAAGACCTGTACTCAGAAAATTATAAGACATGAGGAGAGACATTAAAGAAGATACAAATAAATGGAAGCATATACCATGCTCATTGATAGGAAGAAGTAGTATTTAAAATGTCCATATTACTCAAAGCAATAAATAGATTCAGTGCAATCCCTATCAAAATATCAACAGCATTTCATACAGAACTAGAATAATCCTAAAATTTATATGGAACCATAAAAGACCATGAGTAACCACAATAATTTTGAGAAAGAACAAAGCTGGAGGTATTACACTACTTGATATCAAACTATACTACAAGGCGATGGAAATCAAAACAGCATGACACTGGCATAAAAACAGACACATTGATAAATAACACAGAATAGAGAGCCCAGAAATAAATCCATGCCAATGTGGTCATTTAATTTATAACAAATTACCCCATACATTAGGGTAAAGACAATCCATTCAATAAATGGTGCTAGGAAAACTGGACAGATACACCAATGATACATCTGATAAAGGATTAATATACAAAATTTATAAAGAGCTCATACAACTCAACACAAAAAAAACCCAAACAATTCTTTTAACAAATGGGCAGAGAGCCTGAATTAACATTTCTCCAAAAAGGACATATGAATAGCCAATAGACATATGAAAATATGCTCAACGTCATTAATCATCAGAGAAATGCAAATAAAAACCACAATGAGATATGACCTCACATCTGTCAGAATGGCCATCATCAAAAAATCAACAAACAACAAACAGCGAGGATGTGGAGAAAAGGGAACCCTTGTGCACTGTTGGTAGGATTGCAAATTGGTACAACCACTATGGAAAAAAGTATGGAGGTTCCTCAGTAAATTAAAAATAGAACTACCTTATGACTCACCAATTTCTCTTCTGGGTATTTATCCAAAGAATCCAAAACAGTAATTCGGAAAGGTGTATGCACCCCTGTGTTCACTGCAGCACGATTACAATAGCCAAGATATAGAAGCAACAGAAATGCCCACAAATAGATAATTGCATTGGGCCAGCTGAGTGGCTCAGTTGGTTAAGAGTTAGCTTAAGAGCGCGAGCTCTGAGCAACAGGGCCACCGGTCTGATTCCCACATGGGCTAGTGACGCTGATGGCTCAGCTGGCAGGATGGCTCAGCTGGTGAGAGCACATGTTCCTAACAACAAGACTGACTGTTCGATGGTGGGCTATGCCCGCCCGCAACTAAGACTGAACTCAGCACTTAGAGCTGAACTGCCCCACCCCCACCCCCAGGATGATTCAGTGGATAGAGCATGCACTCTTAACAACAAGGCTGCTGGTTTGACTCCTGCATGGGATGGTGGCTACGCCCACCCACAACTAAGATTGTAACATAGCACCTCGAGCTTAAAGGCCACGAGCTGCTGTTGGGCAGCCAGATGGCAAATGGCGCCCTCCACAACTAAAACTGAAGAACAACTTGGCTGGTCCCCCTCCCCAATTCCCCAACACTGTTCCCCTCCCCCAATTCTCCAATTACAAAAAAATAGATAATTGGATAAAGAATTTATGGCACATATATACAATGGAATATTACTCTGCCATAAGAAAAAATGAAATCTTACCATTTGTGACAACATGCATGGACCTAGAGGGTATTATGCTAAGTAAAATAAGTCAGACTGAGAAAGACAACTACCATATGATTTCACTTATATGTGGAATCTAAAGAACAAAATAATTGAACAAACAAAACAAAAACACTCATAGATACAGAAAACAAACTTATGGTTACTGTATGGGAGGAGGTTGGGGACTGGGTGGAAAAGGTGAAGGGATTAACAAGTACAAATTGGTAGTTATAAAATAGTCATGGGGATGTAAAGTACAGCATGGAAAACACAGTCAATAATATTGTAAAAACTATGTATAGTGTCAAATGGGTACTAAACTTATCAGGGGGATCACTTCATAAATTATAAAAATGTCTAACCAATATGGTGTACATCTGAAACTAACATAAAACAATATTGAATGTCAACTACTAATATAAAAAATAGTCATGGGGATATAAAATATAGCATAGGCAATAAGTCAACAATATTGTAATAACTATGTATGGTGTCAGATGGGTAACAGGCTTATTGGTGTTATCACTTTGTGCTGTATATAAATGTCTAATCACTATGTTGTTTTGTACACCTGAAATTAATAAAAAAACAAATGAACTTTGTAGAGATGAAATATATAACAGCTGAAACAAAAAAATTATTGGGATTAATAACAGATTAAGTGACACAAAAGAAGATATCAGCAATCTTAAAAATAGCAATAGAACTACCCAAACTGAAGCACAGTAATATAAAAAATTTAAAACTAATTAATAGAGTGTCAGTCACCTATTGTACAATATCAAGCAGTCTAATGTAAATTTAATTGGAATCATGGGTGGAGTGGCAAAAAATATTTGAAAACAATAATAGCCAAAATTTTCCAAAGTTGAGGAAAACTGTAAACCTATAGATCCAAGGAGCTCAATGAATCCTTTTGAGCATCTGAAATAAGAGTTAAAGAACCAAACAACAATAAATATAAACTTAGTACTTCATAAGTGGCAAATCATCTGGCTCCAAATGGAACATATTTGTCTTTTACCTTATCAGGTCTCAAGCACCGAAGAATTATTATTTTTTGCAGTTCATTTAGCCTCTGATCCATTGGTTCAGGAAATCTAGCATTGTGTGGCTCTTTACTGTCATAGATTTCCCGCCATTCATTTATATATTCACAAAAATGTGTCCTAGTGGAAAAAAGCTTAATAATTATTCTTTCATTGGGAAAAATATTTAAGAGAGATTGTTGAGCAAGAAGTTGAATCAAGACAGCTATAGAACCATTTAAAAATCACTCAATTACAAATTTACCCATCACTATCCAATGCTAAAGCATGAAGTTTAAACAATTACCTGAGTCCTTTGAAGGCAGGGAATTCACTAGCTCGACAAATTTCCTCCCAGCTTTTATCCTGTAACCAGGTTGGATCAGGGTTTGTCTCAGCACTCTTAAGACTCACTCCTCCAGTTAAAAGAAACCTAAGTTCCTGGTGGTCAACCTCTTTCTTTGCCCTGTATTCCCAAAATAAGGATTGTTGTAAATTGTTGATGTTAAAATTGAATAAAGTCAATTTCTGCTCCTATAGCTTGAATAAAATAATTAGGACTCACTACCACTACTGTTATAAGTAATTAGAAACTGGATAAAATGAATGAAACAACTGTTTTGGAAATTATACAATTGCCAGTACAGGACTGTGGTCCCTAAAAGAAAAAAAAAAGGGAGATAAATAAGTGATCCCTGTGATTGCCCTAGCTATCTGCTTAACAGCAAAGTTCCAGGTCACAACACAGGGAGGTCATCAAAATCAGAGCTCAGCAATATTGCTGAGTTGAAGAGACAGAGATCAGAGTTTAAAAGGGCTGAGGTGGCTGAAATTTGTGGGCCGAGTACCAGAGAGGAGGGAGATGCATGAAAAAGGAGCTCTAGAAACCTGCATAGGTATCCTCTCCTGATCCTATTGCTAAATTCCAAGTCCTGTGTAAGTAGGGCAAAACTCCAGGAGGCCTGGTGAATAATATTTGGGGAGCCGTAAACTAAGTCGCTACCAGAGCATACACAGGACTGGAGATGTGAGTTTTTGCCAACTAGAGTTGAATCTTTATTGAACACCAGAGGATATCAGTGGTGACATCAGAGGGATAACACCTTAGTAGTGAAGTTAATATAGCCTTAGAATAAAGTCTATTCTAAAACTGCCTTAAGAAATCTTAAAAACAATTCTTGAAAAGATCAAATTAATCCAGTAGAAATTTAATCACCTGCAAAAGTAAAGTCTAATGCTCTTTAAAGGAATACAAAAACAAGACAAAACAAAAACAAACAAACAAACAAAAAAACGCTCTCCCCCCCACTCCAAAAAAAAAAAAAAACCTTCTGCATTTACCAATGTAAAATTCACAACATCCATAAGCAGGGGGAAAATCAGTCAATAGAAAAAGACACAGAAGTGATAGTGATGATACAACAAGCAGACAAGAATTTAAAAGAGCTATTATAAACATGCTGAAGAAGTTAAAACAAAACATAAAGATAATCAAAAAAGGAATAGGCCATATAAAAAATATCCAAATGTAATTTCTAGAGATAAAAAATACAAAATATGGAAACAAAAATTCACTGACTTTCCCCCCTATATGTATAAAACTTAAAAGGGTTCTTTACCAGTAGACCTACACTATAAGAAATGTTAAAGGAAGTTTCAGGTAGATGGAAATTTGGATCTATAAAAAGAATAAAGATCTCCAGAAATGGTAACTATGTGGGTAAACATAAAAGGCTTTTTTCCTCATTATTTAAGTCTCTCTAAAAGATAATTGACTATTTAGAGCAAATAACAATGTGCTGTGAGATTTATAATACACATACAAGTAAAATGTGTGACAACAGTAAAACAAGGCTAGGAGGGGAGAGACAGAAGTGTATTGTTGTTAAGTTCATATTTATCAACTAAGTAAGTCAACAAAGGAATAAAATTGAATCATAAAAAATACTCAATTTAAAGAAAAGCAGAAAATGAGAAAATGGAACAAAGAACAGATGACCAAACCAGAAAACGAATTGTATTGATAAGTTGGTAGATTTAAACATAACTCTATTATCTCATTGAATGCAAATGGGCTAAACAATTTCATTAAAGTTAGTGATTATCAGATTGGGTAAAAAAAAAAGCAAGACCTAACTGCACACTATCTATAGAAATACAGTTTAAATATAAAAATACAAATAAGTTAAAAGTATGGAAAATATATAACATAGTAGCACTATTCAAAATAAAGCTGGAGAGGCTCTAATAATATACAAAGTAGATTTCAGAGCAAAGGATATTGCGAGGGATAAAAAAAAAGGCAAGTCAATTTATTAAAAGAATATAACAGTCTTAAACATTTATACATCTAATAAAAGAGCATCAAAACACAAAGCAATATTGATATAACTGCAAGGAGACATCTCTGTAGTTAAAGATTCCAAAACTCTCTCAATAACTGATTGAGCAAGTAGACAGAAAATCAATCAGGATATAGAGATATGTAGACCAGCTTGACCTACTGGCTATTTATAGAAATTTCACCTAAGAACAGCAAAATACACATTCTTGTCAAGAATGCATAGAACACTTACAAAGATAGACCACATTCTGGGCCATATACTGTCTCATTCATACTATTTCTAGAATAGGGAAAACTACAGAGGCAGAAAGCAGATCAGTGGTTACCTGGGGCTGGGAATAGGAACATGAACTGACTAAATGGGTACAAGGAAGATTTTTGAGATGATGAAAGTGTTCTAAAACTGGATATTGGTGATGGTTGCACAATTGTATAAATGTACTAAAAATAATCTATTTGCATGGGTAAATTCCATGATGTCAATTATACCTAATAAAGCTGAACAAAAAGAATAAACGAGACCTCTATTGAGTGATTTCCACTTACATTAACAGAAAAAGGTGCAAAACAGCATTTAATGTTTTACCTTTATGCAAGAAAGGAAAATAGGAAAAATACACATATTTGCTTATTTTTACAACAATTTAAGTTTCAAATTAAATGAATGGATTTAGTTGCAGATTAGATACACCTGAAGAGAAAATTAATGTACCAGGAGAGCAAAGGTTGGAGAAGCAAAGGGATAGAAAATATAGATGAAAGGGTAAAAGACATAGGGAATACACAAGAATGTCTAAGATAGTGTAACTGGAAAGGAGAGAGAGAGAATGAAGAATGAGCAATATTTGAAAAAATTATTAGTTTTTCAAAAACAGTTGACACCAATCAGATTGAAGAATTTCTTTGAATCCCAAGCAGGATTAAGCTCCCCCTCCCTGATACACACACACACACAAACAACTCACTATCAGAAGTTTGTATGGTGGTTACCTCTGGTGTGTAGGCAAAGGCTAGCAGAGATTGGAAAACAGCAAAAGAGGGAACCTTTGGGATGCTGGTAATTTCTATTTCTTAGTCTGGATGATAATTGCATGGGTTTGTTCACTGTGGTAATTCATCAAGCTAACACTAAGGCTTTGATTATTTTTCGGTAAGTAAGTTATACTTCAATTTAAGAGTAGTAAAATAAAACACATCTAAGCATATAACCTCTAAATACTAAGGAAAAATATAATCTTAGAAATAGCTTAAGATAACAGGTGTCTTATTGTCATAGAAAGAACAATTCAAAACAATAGAAAATAGAAGACAATGAATAGTTTCAAAGCAATGAAAGAAAATTCTAAAAAACCCAGCAAAAATATCCTTAAGGAATAAAAGTAAAATAAAGATGTTTTCATACAAAAGAGAGCTAGGAGAATTCATGACCAGCAGACATAATGAAGTACTAAATGAAGACTAAACAAAGTACTAAAGAGTGTTTTTCAAGTAGAAAAAAGAAATTCTCTATGGAAACTTGAAAATGAAGAAAGGAATGAATAAAAACAAAAAGGGTAAACATGTGGGTAATTTTAAATGAAGATTTATTGTATAGAAAAAATATATCTTGTAGAGTTTAAAATCTAGAGAATATTGAAATACATGGCAAAGGTGGCAAATCAAACAGAAGGGGTAAATGGGGTTATTAAAATGTTTTGAATCTTTGCATGTCAAGGAAGATGGTAAAAGTAGCAAATATAATTAGATTCTAGTACTTTGATCATGCATGTTGTAATTTCTATGTTAATTACTAAAAGAGCAAAAGAAGTGTCACCATAAAGATAAAAGAGAAAGAAAATCAAAGATGAAGAGAAACCTTGAAAGAAGACAGAAAAGGAAAAAACTACCTCTGTAGAAGACCAAGGGTAAGAATTAAAACAGACTTTTCTTCAGATAGTGCAAACAAGATGAAAGTAGAATAAAATATTGAAAATGTTAAAAAAAAGCTACCAACTTAGAATTCTGTATCCAACTAAATTATCCTTCAAAAGTGAAGGAGAAATAAAGATTTTTCTCCAGCAAAAATTGAGGGATTTGTCACCAGTGGGCCTGCCTTGTAAGATACATTAAAATAATTTTTCAGAAAGAAGGAAAATTACATAGGTCATACAGTAGTTTACATAAAAAAAGGAAGAGCATTAGAGAAGGAATAAGAAGATAAAGTAAAATCTTTTTCTATTGTTAATTGATATAAAAGACAATAGCTTGTTCAAAATAATAATAGCAAGAATGTATTCCATGATGGAATATAGCATATGGATATAAGAAATGAATAACATCAATATTATAAAGGACAGGAAAGAAGAATTAAGAAGACTGTTATAAGGTACTTGCACTATCCAGGAAGTGGTATAGTGTTATTTGAAAGAGGACTTGGATTAGTTGTAAATGTATATGACAAACTCAAAGGCAACCATTAAAAAAAGTTTAGGGCTGGCCAAGTGGCTCAGTTGGTTAAGAGCTCGCTCAAGAGTTTGAGCTTTGAGCAACAGCAGTTCGAGTCCCTGCCTGAGCTGAGCAGCCGCTGAGCTGCCAAAAGGTGGCAGGATGGCTCAGCTAAAAAAAATTTTTAAAAAATATATAATTGAAATGCTAAGAGAGGAGAAAAAGTGGAATCATGAAAAATGCTCAATTAAGACCAGAAAAGCCAGAAAAAAAGACAACAACAACAAAGAATAAGGACAATGAATAGAAAACAGTAAACAATGTTACAGATATTAATCCATTAATATCAATAATCACTTAAATGTCAATGGTTTCAACATAGCAATTAAAAGACAGAGACTGTCAAAGTAGATACAAAAAATAAGACCCAACTATAATTTGTCTACAAGAAGCCCACTTTAATTATACAAACATGGATTGATTAAAACAAAAGGGATGGAGAGAGATATGTCATGCAAACACTAATCAAAAGAAAGGTGAAGTAGCTGTATTAATTGAGAAAACAAAGTATTCAGAGCAAGAAAAATTATCAGGGATAAGGAGGGCCATTAACTAATGATAAAGGGGTCAATTTTCCAAAAAGACACAACAATCATTAATGTGTATGTGCCTAACAACAGTGTCAAAATACGTGAGACAAAACTAAAAATAAATGAGCTATCAGGCCATGAAAAGACATAGGAAAACCTTAAATGCATATTATTAAGTGCAAGAAGCCAATCTGAAAAGGCTGTATTTCTTGACTTGGGTGGTAGTTACACAGGTTTTTGCTCTGTAAGAATATATTGAACTGTACATGAATATTTTAAACTTTTCTGTGTGATGTAAATTTTAAAAATCAAATTAACATTAAAACACCAATACTATTGTAGAGAAATGTATAAGTGAACTCATTAATTAGGCAGAGCAGCCATCTTTATTGATTACATTTTCCAGGCAGGTTTTTAAAAAATAAATAAATTTTTAAAAAAGCAAGTAACTTACAGAAGAAGATTGGTACATAATAAAAAGGAAAACAACAGTTTGTCCTTCTCAAATAGTGATCGGCATATATTACAATATAAGTTGTAAGTGAAGTGGTCATTTAAATATCGTAGGCGCTTCTCCAAGATTTTGGATTTGTTACTAAAAGGTTAAAAAAGGAAAACATTGAGTTAAACAATACTAAGATAAAATAACATATGAATTACATATAAATTGTTTTTATTTCATCAAAGTACCCACCCACTGTTAAAAATGTGAAACTACACACACACACACACACACA